TATTGAAAAAATTCCCAAGTGTCTAGGACGGCCTTCCTCCAAAAATCAACTACATCATCATTTGTATTCACTTCAGTGTGTCTTAGTATTCTCCATTCAGAGTCCAAATCATTTAGATCAAGACCTAATAAACAATGGAAGTCTGAAGCAGCAGGTGAAATTGATATTATACTGTCCATGTTTTTGGGATCAAGAAAACCCAAATGTTTTAAACTTTGAACATATTTTGAATTGAAAGGGAAACGTTTATAAAATTGGTGACAACATTCAACCAAAAAGTCTAAACAATTAGTTAAAAAAATTTCCTTGTTTTGAATAGAAAGCCTTATTGATGAAAACTCAGGGCTACCTAACTGACAAAGATTGAACACACGTAACAAAATTAAAAAACAAAAACAACAAAAAAAATTACAAAAAATCCACAAAACAAAAAAGTACATGCCAATCGGCCATGTTGTGATAGCGCAGGTACTAGAACTGTAGTGAACAATTTAAAGATAGCTCAGATTAACGTGGAAGGCCTGACTCGATCCAAGACATTTTGGGGAAAAGATTTGGCGACATGGATGTATTGGTGTAACAAGAGACCGACCCACATACCTGAATACCTGATGGTGAAAGAAACCGCCTAAAAATAAATGATTTCGACCTGGTACATCATATTAATCACAATAAACACGGCTTGGCAACATATGTAAGTTCAAAACAAATCGTTTCTAGACATTGAACAAGTTGCCAGTAACGAACTACGGTTGGTATTTTGAACTGTCATTATTATAAAACGCTAATGGTTTTTCACATTTCTGAGTTGATCGAACTATAACTTGGTGCTTTTTAGAAAACATGTGTTTTTTTAATACTGTTAATTCAGATGTAATTTCAATATTGCATAACTCACATTTAGCTTTAAAATGGTCGTCTTGTACTGGAACTAACCTATGTTTGAATTCTGTTTTATGAATCCATTCATCGCGGAATCACTTTTGGAATCTATTATACGATGTAACGACTATTCTGTTTTCAACCGACGCAATATCGGTACCTAGTGTATTTAACTATTTTTAATTTATTTCAAAATTGGACGAAATTACATAATAAAAAAACTAGAATAACTATTTTAGCTATTTTGTTGTGATAGTATAATATTATTCGTGGGAACTTGAAATTTCTAAAGTACACTTTTATATATCTATGAATGTATCAGGGTTTGTTGTTGATGTATAACGCGTTTTAAGTACCTACCTAATGGATATTGTGATATGATTAATTTGGAATTTATTATAGGTCAATTGTTTTTAATACCATAGATAAGTATATAATATGTCTTATACCTAGACTATATACCGTCTCCGCTCAGAATCGTTTACTTATACAATGATATTATATCGATTGAAGTAGGGCGTTAGTAAGCTCAGCGAGTAACAACGCACCGCTAACTCCAATATTGGAATGGTAATTTTCTTAATTGGTGTAACTAGAGTTTTTGCTGTTAGCAACATGGGCGCTGAATGTTGGCAAACTGGACATATCCCCCTCCTTGTCTTTTCCGTGTTCTTTTAAATTTAAATATATGCCTAAACATGCGTGTATGTTCAGTTCATTTCAAATCTGGTAAACCAGAAAAATATCAAGACGAAAATGACCCAGATTAGTGTCTAACATTAAATATGGGTTATTGTGTTACCAGAAGGAATAGTATATTATTAGTTGTAGGTTACAATGATGAATTTAGGAATTTAATATGATAGGCTAGTGAAAACTAAATTTACAATGTCATTAAATCAGCAATAAAATCTTTGTTAAATATTAAATATTATTGCTAAAACTGTAGCTACTTCTCCAGTCATAAAAAGGTCTCAAAGAGCTACTAAAGGGATATTTTTCACAAATAGAATAAATGAATCAAATACTACAATTTCAATTAACAATTTAAAAATACCAAATTTGGTTTTACAAATTAGTCCTAATTATTCACCAAAATGTTCTATTTAGGATTTAATTATTAAAGATATTGAAAATGAAGATAAGTCGATCGATACTTTTCCAACTTAGAAAGAAAAACACGAAAACTATCATTATCTTTAAGTGTTTTGGATAGTATTTTAACCAAATCAGTTTTTGATTTATATGTAGGTGAACAATGTGGATCAATAGTTTTTGGATGACTAAAATCAATAGAAGCTATTTTTTTTGTTCTGTATTTTTCTTAGTAAGAGTACCCAATATGCTGAGACATCAGTAACTGACTTTTCTGACTCATTTTTCTTCAAGCAAATGTACTGAAGAAAAAATAGCACAGGTCTAACATGCGAACAACATTCTCCTAGACCAGCCATATAAATATAATGTGCCACTAACACATCTCCGGTTTTTTTTTTAGAAATAGAAACCTTTTAGAATAGCTCACCTATAAATTGTTCAAAGCAGAAAAAATTAATATTTTTAATAGCAGCTTTTAAGCATAAGCAGCTCACCTCTGAAACTACAAGGGTATTATTATTAATATCAACCCATTTTACATTAGATATCCATCCACATACAAAGAAATTATGTGCTTCAATATTTTTATGAACATTAAATTCTTGTAAAGTGCAAGCACTTATGGTTAAAACAAGGTAATTAAATATGTCAAGATATGTTACATCTAGTATTAAATCCAAATTGTTAGACCATTCAATAGATGGATCTTAAAACATAAAATATGTATCATTAGATTCGATATAACTTATCTTTTCTATGTACCTTTATTTAACTTAATTAGTCATTCCCCTAATGCTATTACTTAGTGTTAAATCCATTATACTTGTAAATTAACACTATTAATACTTGTAACAGTCAATTGTTTATTATGAACTGTTGGAATTATAAACAAAACACCCTATATAATGAAGTGTATAAGTAATATATTCACACTATAGTTCAGCAGACGCTGACTATACATTTTTATAATATTACAGCATATATGTCTTGTGTAGTGTATACTCTTATACTCTCTATAAGAATTCTGATGTTCAATCAATTCTTAATCATCTTGGTATAAAGCATGAAACAAGTGTACCTTATACTCCTGAACAAAATGGAAAAGCTGAACGTTCAATGAGGACTATTTGTGAATCAGCCAGAACAATGATATATGCCAAGAATTTTCCAAAATCACTGTGGGTAGTAGGAGTCAATACAGTAGTGTTCTCATTAAATTAAACTGGTAATACAGGGAAAGTATGTAAAACTCTATACGAGTTACGGTTTGATAAACTTCCTAAAATAGAAAAATTCGTAGAATTTGGAATAAATGCATATAGTTTAGTTCCAAAACAACGACGAACGAAGTGGGATGCAAAAAGTCGAAAAGGATACTTTGTTGGATATTCAGAAATTTCAAAAGGGTATCGTATTTGGTATAAATAAAATAACGAGGTGTCGCTTAGTAGAGACGTCATTTTCAAGGATGAAAATGTTGTAAATGACCAACTTGTAGAATGTACTAATAATTTAAATGATAGTTATAACATTGATGTTCTTAGCTTACACAAAGACGGCTCATTAGAACACAGCAATAAACCAGAAGGAGATGAAGTTATAGAAAATGAATTTGGACCAGTTAGTGTAGATGACAAAGAAAATCATGAACAAGGAAACGGGTCAAATGTCAACGTGTACAACTTGTGAGACGGAAGTAATATTAACCCAGGATCACACGCATTTAAAATATTCACGAGAACACACAGTCTTTTTAGTCACACGCAGTATAGCTCAAATCATAGTCAACTAAACAGTCACAACGAAAATATAATAACTATCAATTTCGTTTATCGAGTAGCAATTATTAGAAAACAGTTTAAAAATAACCCATAGTTGATGTTTTAAGATCACGCACACGGTATTTTTGACCGTATATTTATACGTAATGTCTGGTAATGAATTTTGAACACTTCTATATTGCTGACATCAGATCGTATACAGTTGGGAGTTGTATCTAATTTTAGTTTATCCCTAATTAGAAGGTACCTAGATTGGATTAGGTTAATATTTCGTATTTTTGATACAATGAACAAAATTCTAAAAGCCCGGTCTTTTTGACTGTGAAGCGTGTGCTCTAGGGTTAAGAAACCATTACGTTATGGTTATGATAATTCACCATTTTTCGTAGTCGAATCCTATCCAGTGAATTTCCAGGAAGCTGTGGAGTTACAAAATTCAGAAAAATGGATGGAACTGATGGAAGCCATGAACAGTGAAATGGAATCTCTTGAACAAAACGGACACGGTCTCTCCTAAAGTTACCTAAGGACAGAACTATTGTAAATTGTGGTTGGGTGTATAAAACAAAATACAATGTTCATGGATATGTTGATCGACACAAGGCTAGTCTAGTAGCAAAAAGGTATAGTCAAATATTCGGTATTGATTTTAATGAAACTTTTAGTATTGTAGTAAATTTCGATTCAATCTGGTCTATATTAGCTTATATCAGCAGCAGAACAATTTCAACTTCGACAATTTGACGTTCAAGCAGCCTTTTTTATCTTTAGATTTGGACGAAGAAATTTACATGAGACAACCAGAATTGTTCAACGATGGTACTGAAATGGTGTGCAGACTTCAACGCGGTTTATATGGTCTAAAGCAGTGCTTCTCAACCTGGAGACCGTGGCTATTTGACTGGGGGGTCTTGAAATATATTTTATTTTATTTAAAATATTTCTGATTATTTAGTTATTATATAAATATAACATTATAATGTATACATTATAGTATAACCGACCATATGATTAATAATTATTTATTACATTGGGAAAGTTTATCTTACATAAGAGTTATTAGATTACTGATTAAAGTATTATAACAATAATAATAATCTATTAAACTATCGAAAATGATGATTATCATTGTAATGCCTTAGAGGCTTAGCAGTACAGTCGTATAGTCGTTCAGTCGCTTTGCTCGCTATAGTGCGTATCGTGTAGATGTGTGGTGTTAAATATTATTTTAAGTTTAAAATGGAAAAGTGGTTAAAAGGGAATAAAAAATCAGATACTTCTACTTCAACTAGTAGCATAGGAATTCCAGAAACAGATACTTCTAGTTCAACAACCAGCAAAAGAAAAAATGAATTTTTACCTGCAAACAATAAAAAAAACAAACGCAAGTACAATTCAGAATATATAAAATTTGGTTTTATTGCATCATATGTAAATATGGAAGAACGACCAATGTGTGTCATATGTTCAAATACACTCTCAAATGATTGCATGAGGCCTGAAAAATTAAGTAGACATTTAATTTCTATGCATCTCAAACACCAAAATAAAACGTCTGATTTTTTTGAAAGAAAGGCATCAGAACAAGGTAGGCGAGTAGTTTTTTTTGATAAACATAATATTAATTTAAATAAAACACTTATTAAAGCTTCTTTTGAAATAGCTTTACTAATTGCTAAAGCTAAAAAAGTTTAACTATTGAAGAAAATTTGGTTTTACCTGCAGCAATAAAAATATGTGAAATTGTACACGGTAATAAAATTGCAGATGCATTGCGGTCCATCCCTGTTTCTAATGATACTATTAAAAGAAGAATAGACTGTATGGGAGATTATATGAAATCACAATTATTAATTCAAATTAAAAGTAGTGACACTTTTGCAATACAACTTGATGAATCGACCGATCTTACAAATAATGCCCAGTTAATGGTATTTGTGAGATATCAATATAATCTAAAAATAAATGAAGATTTACTTTTTTGTGAAACTTTCCGAGACAACAAAAGGCATAGATATATTTAAAAAAGTAAATGATTTTTTTATTATAAACGACTGGTCCAAATGTGTTGGTGTATGTACAGATGGAGCAGCAGCAATGACTGGTAGAATAACAGGGTTTAAAGCAGAAGTGATGAAAGTTAGTCCTGATATAAGATTTGTTCATTGCATTATACATAGGGAACATTTAACTTTTTGAAAAATTGGCTGTGAATTGAATTCAATTATGAATAACGTAGTATCAATGGTAAATTTCGTGAAAACCCGTGCCCTAAATTCTCGACTTTTAAAATTGTATGCGAAGATATGGGATCCAACCATAACACATTACTATTCCATACTGACGTTTGTGGGCTATCCCGTGGGAAAGTTTTGAAAAGAGTTATAGAACTAAGTGATGAGCTCCGTATATTTCTTCGTAATATTAAACCAGATTTTTCTGCACTTTTAAGTAATGAAAAATGTGTTTAAGTTCATATTTAGCAGATTTTTTCGTCAAAGTTAATGAATTAAATCTATCTCTTCAAGGTAAAAATACCAACATTTTAATACTTCAAAACTTCAAGCCTTTAATCAAAAATTGTCTTCTTGGTTAAACGCATTTAAAAATGGAGATTCCTCAATGTTTACGAGTTTACATGATTTTCTTACCGTAAATGAGCTTTCAGTGACAACTTCAGTTTCAAGTGTAATAACTGATCATTTGTCTTCAATGCTAAAATTTTTATCTGAATATTTTCCAAATTTAAATAAAAATAACGAACACGATTGGGTAAAAAGACCATTTTCTATTTCATTGAAATACGATCATATTTCATGGGCCGCAAGAGAGCAATTAATTTAAATTAGAGAAGACTCAACTCTTGAAGCCGAATTAAATGAAAAAGAACTTACTGAATTTTGGTTAAGACAACAACAAGAGTATCCTGTAATTTCAAAAGCGGCTTTACTCATATTAATACCTTTCGCATTAACATATCTTTGTGAAACTGCATTTTCACAACTTCAAATTATAAAAAACAAACATAGATCATGCATTTCACAACAGTCTTTAGAAGCTAACTTGCGTATTTCAGTTTCAAACATCACACCTGACATAAATATGTTATGCGAAAATATACAAGCCCAACCGTCACATTAATAATTATCACATTTTCTATTAATATTATTATTATAAGCCTAGCCTGTGTTTGAAACCAAATCAATATTATTACTGAATATTTTTGTATTGCTGAATAGTTATTACCAATTATTTTTTGTTTATATATGTTTTAAGTTTTATCCAAAATATAAGATTGCATGTGTGAAAAATATATTTCAAACCATTTACTTTCTTTACATTTTAATAATTTATTTGTGTGAAATAGTGCATGTAAATTTAGTATATTATTAAGAAAAATTAATTAATGATTCTGATTGAGGGGGGTCTTGACAGTTTTACATTAAATTTAGGGGGCCCTATAACAAAAAAGGTTGAGAAGCAATGGTCTAAAGCAATCACCACGATGTTGGAACATAAAGTTCAAAACATTTCTTCTTAACTTTAATCTATTAGAAACAAAAGCAGATTCCTGTGTTAGACAAAGTATTAATCGTCGCTATATTTGTTGATGATGGTCCAGTTGCAGCTACATCGAGTAAGGATGTAAATGCATTAATGGAATATTTGAGACAACATTCCATATTACCGAAGGAGAATGGAATCATTTTTTAGGTAAGGATGGATCAATTGTAATGCAGAAAGGGTTGTATTGTAAAAGAATATTGGAGAAGTTCAATATGACTGAAGCAAATCCAGTTCAAATACCAGCAGACCCTCAACATTCATTAGATGACAAGCGACAAAATACTAATCTAACTAGTAAAGTCCCATATCGTGAAGCAGTCGGAAGCTTATTATAATCAGTCAGATTACAAGACCGGACATAACTTTTTCAGTAAATCTAGTAAGCAGATACATCGAGGATCCAAAGGAACAACATTGGACAGCAGTGAAACAAATTTTAAAATATTTGAAGGGAACTATTGATTGATATTTAGTTCTAGACAAAAACTCATGTTAAAGGGATACACTGACTATGCAGGTGACTTGGATACAAGAAGGTCAACATCAGGGTCAGTATTTACATTAGGATCTGGAAGTATAGCATTACATACTTAAGTGCACAGATATCATTATTTTGGTGAACAATTGGTTTGATCTATTAAATTCCCAACAACCATTTGGGGATAACTCAAATGCATATGGTATTGACATACAATTGTGTCGTGCATTGTATCGTTACGTTATAACAATAGCATAATATAATGTAGCTTTTATACTACGCTTTGATTGAGTCTCCAATGCATAACGCGTTATTGTGTTTTGAACACGATTTCGGTATGAAGGCTTAACGTGGAGAAAAGAAAAAGATTTATTTATTAAACGATTAAATCAGAACGATATTATAAATTATATTATTAGACTGATATTATAATATTTTCAACATCGCTATCACAATTATTTTTTATATATTTTTATTTTTTATACGTGGTAAAAAAAACACCTAGTACCTACTTAGGTCCAAATGATTGTTGTTACAAATGATATTCAAATAATGCGAAATTGGAGAACTGTTAATATGACATTTTACATGTTTTTTTTAAATGAATTTAAGCTACTAAAAGACCTTAAACCAGGCCCTATTATTTGTAAAATTTCGTACTGCACACTTCATTTTATTCTTCTTTTATTTCGTCTTAGAAAAAGGAATGTATTACATACATATATACATTATATATTATATGTATATAATAATTTAACAATGCAATTCAATAAAGCAACAAAATACTTATCTTTTAATAAAAATCATAAAAATTAAACAGCATACAATAATAAAAACCTTAACTTGACTTTTTAAAAATTAAAATCATAACAATGCATATTACTTTTTTGATTTTTAATCAAGTAAGTATGGTAATGGAAATGAAAAAAGTCTGAATTTTTAAAACTTCAAGAATTTTTGTTAAATAGGAAAATAGTAAAAATGTATCTCAGTAATGATGAGTAGGTGGGTAATTTAGCTAGCTTTAATATAAAATATTAATAAGAGAGATTTGATATCACACACAAGTGGTATAACCACTTGAATCCACTAAAACGTTTGCGTGAACTCCAAAATTTCTATATTTTAACTTTTCTCCTAAACTATGATACCTAGCTAGAAAGTTGGTTGATAACTCATTAAAAAGGGATAATCAAGTAGACACTAAATGTGGGATTAATTTTTCACAGATAAAAAAAAAAAGAGTTATTTTCTCTAGATTTTCATTTAGCAAGGTAGATCTCCGAAACTGGACAACGGATTTTATTGTTTGGGGTCTTGTTAGATTCACATTGGCTAGGAGAAGTGCAGTGAAGATTTTCAGAATTTCATCTCCAATTGTGAATTCACTACAAAGCTGTAAAGATGAAAAACATCAAAAAACGCCCAATAAAATTAGTTTTAGTTTTTTTTAATGTTCTGTAGTGAATTAACTATTAAAGATAAAGTTCTGCAAATCTTCACTGCACTTCTCCTAACCTATGTGAATCTAACAAGACCCCAAACAACGAAATCCGCTCTCCGGTTTCGGAGAACTATCCCACTAAATGAAAATGGAAATGATTTTTTGTGGGGCTGTTCACACAGACATTTTTCTGGATTCAAACTGTTATACCGCTTCGGTGTGATATCTGTTAATAAATTAAAAAATTTAAAATTAAGAAAGTTTACGTGCCTATCCCTGACTTGGCAAAATTTTTTTTTACATTAAACGCTAAACGTGGTTATAGCCATAGACCTTATACTTAAGTTTAAAGTCTATGGTTATAGCCACGGACTAAGATATTATATACAGGACTGGACACGACAAGGTTGGAGAGTGTGGATGGTTGACCACGAAATGTTATACAACAGGCGGATTTCGGGAGGATATTTTCCTTTTATCATTACTAGCGTTATCAATTTTTTTAAATATCAACAAAAAATATTTTAACAAATAACAATGTTTAAAAATTTATAAAAATTAATTATTTTATTTTATTTTTAATTTTTCTTTTGTAAACCGTAGTGCACACAAGATCAAATCGTAGTGCACACTTGTACATTCGTAGTGCACATTGTGTGTCATGGTGCACATAATAATAGGGCCTGCCTTAAACAGTTATCTTCAAGGCACTTATACAATGTTATATTGTTTACATGAAAAACTTTGTATAAATACAACTATAGTTCAGCAAGGAGTAATTACAAAGCATCTAAAATATAATAATAATATTTTTTTATTTAGATATGTAAAAATATCAACTAATCTGTATTTTCAAATATATAGACACATAATGATATACCATAGGAAAGTATTCTGTATTGTAATCTGGAATTTATTCAAAATGAAATTGAATTACCAGTAGGTTGGCTTGCTCACAGAGATGAGAGAATACTTACATTTTTTTATGTGAAACATGCATGTGTTGTCAAGCTCAAAATTGAAAAACAAATAGTAGTAACCAAAAATCACGAAGTAAAATGTTTTATAGCTGACAAATTAATCATAAATGAAGTATTTCAAATTCAATTTAGTTTGGAACTTTTTAAAACGTATATTTCTCTTCTTGACTCCAAACATCTATGTATAGGTGGCCCAAGTGCTATAAATTATACAGGTATTATTAATTACAATCTTACAAAAAACAAAAAAAATTGAATGTAGCTATTAAATGTATTAATTTAATCCTGCATTATTCAACACGAAGTTATAATAGCAAAACACACCATAAAAGAAATAAATATTTGGAGACATGAAAAGTGCTTATTAGTTATTAGAAATAATGAAAAGAGATGTGAATGGTGTGAAAGGCTTTTTGGAATTTTTAGAACATATAAACGAAGAAATTTGGCACAAGATTGGAATAAAAGTATTGGACCATCATTGACGCCAAATCGTAAAAAAACATTATTTATTTTACAAAAAAAAAAAAAAAATAGCAGTTGTAAAAAACTTGAGGCAAGATTTATTATTTATATATTTTTAAATAATATAACATAATATTTTATTTTAATGTTTTTATCATTAGGTACAATAAAAAAGATAAATTGTTTAAACACAAAACTGATTTATTTTCAAGAAAAAACAAAAAGTCTATCAGAAAACTGTACAAATGATTATTTAAGAAACATTCAAGTAGACGAATCTCAAAAAATAATAATAATGGAAATATTAAAAACAAGTAAGCTAAGATCAAACAACAAAAGATATTCTGAAAATTGGATTTTGCTATGTATATTATTTCATATAAGGTAATTCATGTATTTAGTTAAGTTGATTTTTTTTTGATTTTATTAAATTAATTTTTAATTGAATATATTCAGATCATCTTCGACATACAACTTCCTTAGGAAACAAGGAATTTTGCCTCTACCTTGTTCTCGAACTATACGTCGCTATTTGGCAATGGTCAAAGCAGACTGTGGTTTTGATGAAAACTTCTTCAAATTGTTTAAAAAAAAAAAAAACAATTTATTAGATGAAAGGGAAAAACATGATGTACTACTTTTCGATGAGATATTTCTTCGAGAAAGCATCAGTGTAAATACCAAATCTCTAACATACTTAGGCTTAGAAAATTTTCGAAAAGATGAATCACATTTAAATACCAATCAAAAAGCAGATCATGCCCTGGTATGTTCCAAAGTCTTGGTTCAAATATAACGCAGCCAATTGCTGTATTTGCGTCAAAGGGATCTGTGAAAGGTAATACCTACCTAATATAAGAATATTATTTGAATACAATACATACAATTGTATATGTTAAGGGATTATACTTACACAACTATTGATTACATCAATTTCCATTATTGAGAATGCTGGAGCAATAATTGATGGAGTAGTTTGTGATGCAGGGTCTACCAATAGAAAGTTGTGGAATGAATTAGGAATAAGTGGGAAAAAGGATAAATTAGTTAATAGCCTAGTGCACCCAATGGATGTAAAGCGTAAGATTTATTATTTTTCTGATACACCACACTTAATTAAGACAGTTCGAATAGACTTCATAACATGAAAACTTTGAGGGTAAATTTAAATTTAAATGTTATAATATTTTATAACCAATTTTTCATC